GCGTTGCTTTGGTCCACCTCGGGGAAGGTGTTGTTGATGAACCACCTGGCCCCCGTTATGTTCTTCGCCTCGAACAGGCTGCTCTGAGGCCCTAGTGGGGGAATAGGGCCCTTTCCTTTACCAGGAGCTCGTACCTCGGCCCCCTCCTCCAACTGTCTGAGCTCAGGGTCCAGCTCAACAGAAGAAGGTTGAGGTACGAACGCAAGGACCTCATTCCCCGTCTCCTCCTCCACCACCCTCTGCTTCTTCTGCAGCGCCCTCCTCTCCTCCTAGCCCTTCCTCTTCAGCTGTGGCACCTCCTCCTCCATCTCAGCTGAAGCCGCAAGCACTGCCTCTTTCCTGGTCCTCCCCTCATCCACTTGTTTGGTTGAAGTCTTTGACTTCTTCCTTGGCTTCTTAGGGATGGCCGCTCCTCCAGCAATGTTCAGGAACTGGTCCATTTCAGCTGCAAAGCAAAAATATACAATATCAATCACAGTTTTATACTCTACATTACTCTACATTCAGTACTACAATGCAGAACTAAACCAACCTTCACTCAAAGCGCTTGGCCCATAAAGCTCAGCAGCCTCTATGCATTGCGCGCTGGTGAGGTCCAAGATATTCAATAAATCCCCCCCCCTTCCTCACCAACCTCCCCACTTCCTCCTCTTCATCCTCATTTAAGCTAAACCTATTCTGGTTGGCCCTTTTGGTCTTCCAGGCGGCTAACTCCCTCACCTCGGCATCCTCTTTTCCCCACTCCGTATCATCTACGAAAAAGAATTTCTCCTTCCATCCTTTAATGGATGAAGGAACCGCTGTAAATAATGACCTACTCTCCCTACTAGCTACCCTTGGGGTGAAATAATACCACCCTTTATCTCTCCTACTACCCCCCTTTAAAACAAAAAAATACTTAAACATATTTACAGTTGGCACGCTAATCCCCTGAGCTCAACAATAGACTAAAAATCCTATATTACCCTCATTGCGTTGGGGACCAACTGTGTCAACCCTATGTTGTAATCTAACAATAAACCCACTAGCAACTCAGGAAGCGGAAACCTGAGTCCCGCTATCAAATAGTGGGAATACACAGGCATCCAGTGATCCTGAGGAGCAGAGCACGCCCTCTCCTCCACCCCAGTTGGCCTAACTAACACTCGAGACGAGATTTCGTAATTTTCTACTAAGTGACCCAGGCTATCCCTGGTCCTTAGCTCAGATCTGTACTGCTTCACCTCCTCCACTATTTCTGCGTTCACATCATAATTCCTCTCTCCTCTACCCTCTATTTCTACTACGGTGATGGGTATGCTATCTACCCTAACCCCTACCACCTCATTCCTCCCCACCTCTATCACCTCTCTCTCCTCAACCTCCACCACCTCATCTCCCCTCACCCCCTCTACCATTTTCTCCGAACTAGATGGAGATGGACTACTCTATGCGTCCATGCTCCCATAGTCCAAGGGCATCACCTCACTCCCAACTACACTTTCTGTTCCTTCTGAGGACATTTTCTCAAATT